CCTCGGCCTCCCAAATACTGAAATTACAGTCATGAGCCACTGTGCCCAGGCTTTTTTTTTTTTTTTTTCTATTAGCTTATTGGAAAATATGGAAAGACTAATTTATTTGGAATCAAAATAATTATAGTCAACCACAGATCCACAATTTACTAGCTTGCTTAATTTTTTGTCCTTTCTAAAACTTTGTGTTCACATCTGTAAAAGGGTAACAACAATAATGCCTATTTATAGAGATGTTTTTCGTATTAAATAAGGTGATCTGAGCACTCAATGTGTTATTAAATGCAAAACACAATGCATTTTTATCTTCAAATCATGTAATGTTCCTGTCATTACACAAAGAAAGATGTATTGGAATTAAAATGAAGGACTGTTTTCCCCAATGTGTATTTTATTACGATTTCCCCAACTTGAAGCTATTTTTAAAATGTCTATTATATTTTTAAGTCAAATGTTACAATACAGAGGAGAAGATCAGTGGATTCGGAGAAGTCTGAACATTGTGGAAATCAGAGCTTTTAATACATTTTAGCTTAAAGTAGCACATAGACACAAGGGAAAGATCGCAAATCTTGGTGTTTTCCAAAGACATCAATAGTTTGTGAGGTACAAGGATAATTAACTTGCTGGATAAACAAATTTATTTTGGTTCAGCGCCACAGCGTACAAATGGCTAGCTCACACAATGCAAGAATTTAAGTTCAAGCAATGCTCCACAAGCGCTCCTCTGTGGAAGTTTGACCTTAGTACTTAAGAGGGTTTTTCTAAGACTTTTCCCTTGTATCCATTACCTTTCTAAGACATAGCTTCAAAGGTATCCATGACATTTAACCTTCTCATTCAAGGGAAGTTTCCTAATTTATATGTTTACTTAAACTGATGATTAGGAAACATTTTTTTGTGTGTGCATGTGTAGACACATAGTCTAGAACCAGAAAGAGAAAATTAAGACGCCTTCAGGAAGAAACATAATGAGACCACAGTAATGTGAATGATCTTCAAATACAGAGAAGATAAAATGTGCTCTCTGGGATTTCAAAGGGTGAACGTTAGAAAACATTTTTTAATGTAAAGAATTACTTTAGAAAAAAGGACAATTCTCCAAAATTGAATTAGACGGTTGCAGTAGTAATTTACAAGGTGTTCTAACTCTTGGAGAGCTGACCAGCTCTAGTAAAGGGCATCCAATTCTGAGTCCATATATCAGGCAGGGCTAGGACTTCAAGTGTTCTCAGCCTGGTTTAAGGATGCCTTGCTCCCAGCCACAAAGATTCAGATTCGCCTGTTCTGGGTTAGGGCTTCACTGTGTTTCATTTTAAGCAGTGATTAGAATAAGCTCTCCAGGTTGTTCTAACGTGCATAAAAATTGAGAACACCTACACTAGTTGATTTCTAGAATTGTTTCTCATGGAATGAATCTGAGCTTTTTGTGAGAACTTGCATTAATCTAGGTTAAAACAATTGAAAATAGTTGTGGGTTGCCCACAATCTATCTGGGTTGCCCTCACAGCAAAGCAGTCCTAATGCAAAACACTGGCATTGATTGATAGAGTTTTAATAGAGGGTGGATTTGTGCTTTGATCATTACTTCTCTATTCAGGAGACAAGCAGCAGCAAAGTCCTCTGGTCTTTGCCTCAAATAGAGACAGAGGCTGACAGTTGTGGGCCTTACATCTTCCCCAGGAAGATGATCTTCATGCAACAGTGCCAGCAGCACCATCCCAGGGACAGTGACAGAGAAAAGGTTATGAGTTGCATCCACTTCCTCAGTGTACTGAAGGACTGCAGAAGCCAGAGTGTATTTCATTAAAACTACCTCATTCTCAGAACCTGTTAACAGCAACTGGGAAAGATCATTCTCAATACAGTGGGGAAAACCCTGTCATTTTGTGGTGAAAGCAAGATGCGAATTTTGACATCTCCAGTGGCGGCGCGCGTGTGTGTGTTACAACCTCATTTCTCTGTAACTGTGCTTCCGGACTTCATGACACCAGGTCTTGGCAAAATCCCCACCCTCCCTGAACGTTTGCTTCAACTGAGAATTAGGTGTTTTACTTTCTAGATCCTTATTGTCCCTTTTTGGATGTAAACTTGCATTAAGCTATTTTTGTGTAAATAGGATTTTGACATAATAGGAGCCCAGCAAGGACTGGTGTTGCAGCTGGCACATGGCTTCAAATCCATCTGTTCTATACTGTGGCTTAATTTAAAGACTGGATTACTTGAAAATGCATTTATTAAGTCTGACCTACTTTTTAAATATTTAATATTCCATTTTGGTTTCCTTGCAACAAGAAAAGCTTCAAGGTCTTTATGTTCCTGCCAGTTTTTAAAGCATTGCTATTGATTCAGATAATAAGATCCTGCACAGACACAGTGTACAGACTCACTGTCCCCTGCACCACTTTCAAGAGTGGTATTTAAAGCAATTAGCAGCTCACAAGATCTTACTGGTACTTGGGTGTCCCCAAGGACCTGCCTGCCTTTGTCCCTTATGAAATTTCTCCTCTTTTCCTTTCTTCATGTACATAACTGAACTCTCAATAAAAAAAATAACAAGCAAAAAATCTCAGATCCATAACAGGAAAAGTAATCACCATCTTATCTTTCCAGCGTGGAGTCGGTTTACAGCTTAGCTAAGGCTTATTATTTCCAACAGAAAGTATTCTGACTTGAAGAATAATAGACATATACAAGAGATAAATACAAATTGTTGAGAATTGGAGGGAAGC